GATTGGACTCTACTGGTCACTGCTTCCCACTAGAACTTCAGGAAATTCATCTTGAAGCCAGTCACTAGTGAGCACGTAATTATTATATGGTCTTCTTTTTTATAGAGATTTGAATAATGAACTATTTGAAAGAACTCATGAATTCAACTATTAAAATTGATAATTGATCAACCATCAAAGAATCGATCTATTTCATTAAAACCCCTCTAACAAAATAACCATCAAATGCTTACAAGTGACATACTTCGAGAAAATTTCCTGAAACTTTATTGAGATTTCATGATGGAAGAAGTTGAAACATGTTAAAAGTGAAACAGTTGTCAACAATGCCCTTAAATTAAAATTTACTTTACAGTATGAACTGATGGACTGTTAAAAATGAGGATTATTAAATGTCTGCTTGGTGGTTTAAGGTTTAAGAGGATTCTGTTAACCCTAAAGGATTCGAATTAAATCTGTGGTTAGATCATGAACTTAAACTACTATATTAATGCAAAATAACCGTTCAATTCTTCATAATTTTCACTAGTACCCTAACTAAAATCAGATCGTTTAAAATACTACCTATAAATTAAATTAATGATTCCGAAATCTCTCGAACAAAAGAGACTTACATTTAGTTTGTAATTTCTTATTTTATGCATGTTTTTTAGTCATAATAGGATCGAGTATTACTCAAATGCTCAAAACTGAATCTGAAAGATAAGTCCAAATGATTGGAGTCTCAATAGATGGATGTGTATGAGTGCACATCTGCATATATATATATATATATATATATATATATATATATATATGAAACTGTGACATTAGGTAACTCCTAATTTCAATTCCACAAAGAATATTCATCTCCTTCAAGATTTCAAATACGCCATGGTGATAAACGCTAACTAGAACAAAGTCTGAATCCATGTGTTCGTGGAACATCATGAAACCCTTAGAAACAAAAAAAATTTCAAATGACTTATAACTTAGTTATTAAAAATATTCTAGTTACTATGTTCAGTTTTACAGTCATTCTTGACTCGTGACGACAACTGTGTAGTCATACTTATAGCTAAGTTTTAAATATAAATAATGATAAGTATTATCATCATTTTAAGAGTTAAAGTTATTCAGTAATATTTCATATATAACCAACCAACATCTATCGTTACTATAAACTACATACATTTTCTATCTTCTGTTATCAGCTGGTATAACAATTTTAAAATAATGAATTAGGGGTGAATTGAATATATGTAATAAATGCTAACCAAGTGATTTCCATACTTTCTGGTGAAAAAACAATAGATTTATCAGCTTATGAAATACTAGCATAACATAAGAAATACCTGATCCTTATGAGTGATTTGTTGATTCGTCATGACTTCATCATAGAACATTCTACAGGTTATTTAATTAATCGTCTTAGGATGTTATTAGAATTGGTTCGGAAAACGAGCCAATTCCGATCATTCAGTATTGAAATAGACCTTCATAACTAGAAGAAACCTGTCCACATCATATAACGATATTAATTAAACAATTATTGAAAACGAGGAAACACTAGATAGATATTCCTTCCCTAGTGCAGGACACTTCGGCAGTGTTCATCCAAATCCGAATTAGGAGGCCGAAGCCGAAGTCTTCGTGTCATGTAATAAACACCAAACTTTCAAACCGATCGGTTGACTTTCAAAAATTTACGTTTCTAACTTCAGCCATAAGTAAAATATACAGTAGAGCATATGTTGCTAATTTACACTCACTATAGTCTATTATTTGAGTACTCTTTATCATGAGTTTAATATTGAAATACAATAATCATTTGATTGACAATTTACACAAGTTTCCTACTTATAAATCATTATTTTAGCATGACATTTGAAATGTTTAATTAGTTATATTATTATACATTAAATTTACGATTAATACTGCTGTGTCGTGTGCTACTGATGTCGACAGATATAAGTAGAACGTCTGGAGGCAGAAGGTTCAAGAATTCGAGAAGAGAACAAGAACAGAGAGTGATTGATATGGAAATGAAGGAACAATAAAATCTAAGACAATTGAAGGATATCTTGTAAATGAAGTATTTGCTGTTTGGTTCTCAGATTTTACCAAGATATTATGTAATGTATTTCTGATACCATGAATGGAGCAGTTTGACCGCCAAAGAAAAAACACTGAAATAAAATCTAAGTTATATATTCTAGAAATCAACTCTTGTATTCTTATCTATCAATACATATATCACTTATTCGATCGAGCAAATTAACGATCATTCTTCTTAACATACATTTGAAAGACTTTCGAAATGTTAGAGAATATTTAAAGTTAGTGTGGACTCTTTGAACTTTCATTGAATAACATTATCAGTGGCTATTTGATGTAGAAGTTAACCTCTTAGTTATTCTAAGAGTCTCAGAGTGTTTTTAGAAACATAACATTCACATTATTCGGCACTCAATAGATACATCAAGATAGACCCTATCTGTTAATTCATACAATAAAAATAAATTAACCGCATAGTCATAGATCAATAGAGTACTCTCCTTTACTTGAATACAAGAAAAAATGAAGATAACTAAATCTATAAAATCAACCTGTCATAATACATCGCTTTTAGAACGAACTGATTTGATTCTTGTGGAATAATTTAGAAACTCAGTTCTACACAATATACATACATAATACATACTTATATAAGATTTCTCATAACGGTAATGAAAGCTATCCAGTTATTATTATTTATTCAGAGAAAACAACACTAGAATTTGGAGAACGTTATTTTCTAAACCTGATAATTTTTTATGTTAAGTTGCATCAAAACACCTCAATCAGAAAACAAACACAACGAATTCATAACTTTGCAATACTAAGATTATTTATTTCTTCTTATATAATATGGGACATACATTGATGAGGGTGGTTTACAATGAATGAACGAAAAAAAGATCGGACGGATTACAAATAATAATTTACGTCTGACTAAATGAACCGATCAGTGTTAGACCACCTTTAAGAACCTGGAAACACTGGACGGCCGTTTCGCCCTGGTATAGAACATTTCATCAGTGCACATCCACGACTTCGGTGGCGAGGCTCGAACCAATGACCTTCGGCCTCGCGCGTAAATGCTTAACATTTAGGTTTTCAATGGTGGTCTAGCATTGATCGATTCATGAACTCAATCGTCACAACCCTATACTGATAATAACTTGGTATCAATTATATTTATTGTATGAACATTCCGTGGATAAATGTGTTTCTTCTTTAATGTACATTTTGTTCTCTATTTGTCAATCAGTGAGTGGTGTGTGTAAACATACAACACAGGTTCAAAATTTTGCAAAAGCTCGTAGCATTGATATATATATGATTGACAGGGTGTAGAGATAAATAAGTATTCTATTCCATAACAATGATATTATACTGTGTAGAGAGGTAATTTTGTCATGAAACTGAATAGTAGTAGTGTGAGGGTAACAGTGGCAGTGTTCCAAGTTATATTTAAGATAAAACACGTGTACAGTATTTGTATGAATTGATAATTAAAATTAGTTTTTTACGGATGATTTGAAGCTGTAGTAAAAACCAGTTTTAATGAAGATCAAATAGGGCTTTTTGTAAGTTATACTATTTTTATGATGTATTGTGACTGCATATTTTGAAAATAATTAATCAGCTGACCATTGGAAACAAGGGGCCACTAAACAGATGTTTTATTGTAACAGGGGACTCCTCAGCAGTGTAAATACATGAACCTACTAGGGGTCGAACTCTAGAACTTCACATCTCAACCTAGCCCCTCAAAATTCAGATCACTCAGTTTTTATTAAAATGATTACATGTCTGACTTAGATTGGTCCACGTTAATGTACAACTATCTTCTAGTTTACTAATTTCACAATCATTGAAGATAAAAAGTTATTGACCGGTAGTTATTTAACGTTAAATGTGGAACTTCATACCAGTGTACAACCATAACCATTTCAATGAGATGAAATTGCAATAGACGCTCTACAGTCGGACTACTGAACCGAAATCCAATGTATTAACTATAATAATACACGACCAAATATCCAATCTTATCGGTGAGCAACTATTTCACTATCAACATATCTAAACATTCATCTACTTCTCCCTCAATAATCATTTCACATTATATGAGTATGATTATTTGTAAAACTCTTACTTAAGGGAATAATATGTGAGGCTTCATTAATGATAAGATTTATTAAAGTTTCTTGATGGGAGTCCCCATTTGCAAAAATAGTTAAATGTAATCAATGAATTTTATGTCATTATAGTATGTAAGGTGTTTACAAAGGCTAGTGATTATTATCTAACTAATTAAACAAATATATTTAGAGTGGGAATTCTATCCATTAGATGAAAATCAATGTTAAGTATTCTTTGTTACTTATTTATTAACTCTACTTACCATTTATAAGTAATATGTGAAGATTATTTATTTACTAGTGTATTGTTATTTGATGTAATTACCGTTGAAGTAAAATTGACCGAAACAGTGTAATAGTCTTAATCGTGGTCATTAAAACAGATAAATCAATGTTTGACCGAAAAATTTAATAAAGCATTAAGACTCTCAGTTCATTTATGTTGAACATCAAGAGTTTGAAGGGAATCGAATAGAAAACTTTATTTATTGCAAGTTTCTTGATAGTTGACATTTGTCATGAAAGTGTATTGTGAGAAGTGTTACTGTTCTGTAAGGGGATTAGATTTTTTTGATTAAACTAAGTTCTAGATAAACTTCACATTGATTGTTATTCAACAATTAATAATCACTATGAAACTTGGTGCGATAGTATGCGCGTGTGTATATCTATGCTGTGACGTATTTACCTAATAAAGAACACCATTTAACATCATTCCATCATGCATTATTGTATCTATTGAAATTACAAATATATCACCGGATCATTAAGTTATGACATATTAATCAAACAGTGTATGATCCTTACAAATCACCTTATATTTCATAGACTTACTTTACTGGTATTCAAATGATGCACTCTTCTATGTTCATCCATAATTAATTTTGATGTTGAACTGGTAAAGCATATTGAACATGTATATAATTGATAAGTGTCCATTTGTTGTGAACATGGTAAATGTCTATCGAAACGTGAACGTAATATTGATTCGAAATTACAATGTTTACATCGTAGTATATGAATTACAGTTTTACTCTGATCATCATTACGATCTTCATCATCATTATCGACGTTATCAGCCTTAATATTATCATCATCAGTTTTTTCATTAATAATGTTTCTAGAATGCTGAAAAGAAATATCAGTATTATTGTTACTATTATTATCAGTAGTATTGATTACAGTTGGTTCAATAGGATTAGTATAATTGGTAGTAGTTGTTTTCATAGTTGTTGTTTCGGTCATATCAATCATTTGAGAATTCGTGATATTATTTTAAATAAATGTTATATTGATGAATGTATATATAAATAAATATGTCCGTTGAACAAACCAACTTATTATTATTATCTTTTCAGATATGTTAGACAGAGAATACAAGTAACCAAGTGTATATCAGCATACGTCCATGATATCACAAAAGAATAGAACAATGAATGATAAATGCCAGAAGAAATAAAGGAAATGTAAACCCAATACACAGGGAATTTATTTTAATAATACTGATATCTAATATGTATATATATGCATATATTTTTGTAAATTTTACAGCATGTATGTGTGTAGATCAGCTGAGATGAGATTTACTTATTCCAATGAATGATATTAAGTATACACTATAAAATACATGTCCGTCCCTTTTTATCTCTCTCACCTTAAAAATAACAAAGTTATCATCAAATATCAAATCATTCTACTGACACATACCTAATAAACATACATACAAATATTATACATTAATATACATACATACATACAATGAATACATGAAGGGATACATATAACCAATATACATATATATATATATACACCTTACATTATCAAATAAGTTAAATGATTTATCTTGAATTGTGTGTTCATGAAAGCATTTACTCTAATTGGTAGATTTGTTTATCGCGTTAACCAATTAACATTTAGATATTTGATATAAAACTATGTGGTAGGTATAATGATATGATATTGACCATTCAGAATCTTGATAAGTCCTAGTAGGGGGTGGTTTATTACAATATATATATATATATATATATATATATATATATGATTTAATAACCTAGTTGTATAATAACTTCTTACCCAAAAATAACATTGATAATGATTAATATTAAGATTTATATAAATTTATCAAGTTAATGAGTTATTTTAAATAATAAATAGTTGAAAGGGGTGAAATACATGTTAGATATTATGAAATCTATCATCATTATATATGTGCTAATCATGAGAACAAAAAAAAAGACAGGCTACAATGAGTATTACCATGAAAACTGTATTTTGAGTGTTTCCTTTATTTTCAGGTTGATATTATGAGAAAAACAAAACTTACTATATAGATCATGAGGACAATTGAATTTGATACGATTTTAAAAGATTCCAATTCATAATGAAACATTATAACTGTATAATCATTGGTAAATGTCATAATAATTCTGGTAAATAATTGCACTAGTGGAATAATGTACTATTTGCAGATAAGTCAGTAGAACATTTTAAAAAGGTGGAATGGTGATTGTCAATAATCAACTATTTTCGAAACAGTCATTATCAGTCAACATATTAGAGACTGAATATATGATGTAAACACTTCACTTGTACAGGAAATCAGTCAAATGCTTAAATAGTTCAGTTTTACAGTCTATGAAATCGTTGAGTAATATGGGTTCCAATCTCACAGGGTTGAATATAAAACTTGTAGACAATATAAAGTTGCATAAAGAGTGATTTCTGTTTCTCTTACTGAATGTCTACTACGTCTAAGAAGGTTACTTAGACTTGATAGAATTCATTTAACATTAAATGAACTAGACAAGCACATCTCTAGTTACCGCTATTCAGTAATTCGCCAATGGTTTTCTTCAATTTCTTAAATGCTAAGTACAAACTGAGTTTTCTGTATTGAATAGTTGATGTCACAGTCAGACAATGACTAACAATGTTACACCTTGTGTACCAGTGATCACTACTATGAAACCTAGATTAAGAAAAATTTCTTGCCGACAACCTCTAATTGCTAGACATCAGAAGATAGTGGACACTATGTCTAACCTCTTAGATTATTGACTACGTTTTAACTTTATGGATCGGACTTAATCACTACAAAAGGACTAGAATGATATAATATTAACTACTTACTACTCAACGATCAATCATTTTGGATATGTCGACTATTTAATTTCGACTTGATGACGAACTAAATGGTAAAGTGACAATAAAGAAATAAAAACGAGCGAATTAAAGCCTACGACAAATCTACACCAATGCAAATTGCCATAACGAATCAGCTCAGTGAGACAAAATTAACAAGATGGATAAACAAAAGTAGTTCGAATAAGTACATAGTTGCCCTGGTAGCGAGAAATAATAAATATAGAGTGATTGCAGTCCTAAGACGGAGAATGAATTGAATGAGTGATAAAGCGAGTAATAATACTGACGCGAAAGATAAAGAGTTGATGAATCTACATCATTATGATCCATTCTCAGTCAACCCACTCAATGTCTTTAACCACTGATCCGGATTATCACACAGATCCCACGCGCCAACAAATGCAGGTCAAAACAACCACTGTAATGGAAGCCTCTAAAGCAGTAGGTTTCAACATACACAAGGGGAAAAGCAAGATCCTCAAATACGACACGGAGAACATCAGTCAAATAACACTTGATGGAGAAGCTCTGGAGGAGTTGGTAACTTCCATGTGACTGGACAGCATCATCGATGAACGAAGAGGATCCACTATTGGCGTAAAGGCAACGACTAGCAAAGTAAGAACAGCATTCCTACAGTCGAAGAACATATGGAACACAAAAAAAGCTGTCAACCAACGTCAAAATTAGAACACCACGAGACTTCCACCGTAAGGAGCTGAAACCTGCAAAACGACTGTAACGATCATAAAAAAATACAGGTATTTATAAGACATTCAATGTCCGTTGACCGGATGCTATCAGGAACAGCCTACTGTAGAAGAAAATAAACGAACTTCCGACTGAAGAGGAAACTAAGAAAACACGATGAAAGTAGATGGGACATATATTGTGGAAATCATCAAACTACATCAAGAGCTAACTTGGAATGCTGAAGGGAAATGAAAAAGATGAACACCAAGGGACATATTACGTCGGGAATTGGAAGCAGATTTCAAAGAGATGAATAGCAACTGGCAAGAAATAGAAAGTATTGTCCAGAATAGAGTTTGATGGAGAATGCTGGTGGACGGCCTATGCTCCTCCACGAGGGGTAATAGGCGTAAGTAAGTAAGTAAGTTCAATCTTACATTTTTATATATAGGGATTAAACTGGTTCAGTTATAAACTCAATATTGATAAATAGTACATTTTATTGATAATTCTGGGAACAGAATAGAATATATATAACGTTTATTTACAAGTCAGATGGTAGTGGATATCCGCAACATTTCTAACTGACAAGCTCCCATCATTGATACAATTACGATGCAGTATATTGGACTAAACCTCATGATTTTCAAGAAATTCACGATAATCATTGTACGTTTTCAGCTCTAATCAATTTGTATTATTAACACAATTTTCAGTGAATTATTCTGTTAATTTAGATACTAGTTAACATTATTACAATATACTCAGTTTTTAATCTATAATAGGTCACAACTTCGAACACTAATTCCCTTCCTCCATATTCCACTCCTCTCAATTCGGATCACTGAGCAGTGTGTTAACAGTGGTCCTCATAACACTATGTATGTGATGGTGGTTAACACCGTCAATAATATATTTCGATAAACTACCATTATTGAACATACGTTTTATCGAGTTCTTTGAGTATATGGAAGGGGGAGGTAAATATCATAAAAATCAATTCTTCTTCAATATCATTTATAACACCCTCTTCATCTTGAGTTTCCTAACTGAATTAATTAATTTAAATTAATTTTCTCCATAAATCAATCCTTTGAATACGACAGAAATGAATGTTGAAATCAGTATTATTACGTCTAGAAAATGATCTGTCTTAAAGACAACCTGGGCATAAAATATGACAGTTGATTGGAATATTAAATTTGAACGTCGAAAGTGGTGGATGAACATATGAATATAAACTTTAATACCTAAAAGGAGAGCGGAGTTTTACGTGGGTTATGCCAAGACATGATCAGATTATTTGACCAAACTCTTTTAGCTAATAATCTCTGATAAGAATAAGAAACTTAGCATAGTTACTGAATATCTACAAAGTTATCTTATTTTCTGAAGAGTTATTTACCTGCAAAGTTTCAATATTTTTAAAAATCATTTCTTAATAAGTTAACTGTTTCGATGAATCATGTTCGGTAAAGTTAGCCAACTGGATATTGATGATAAGATAACTATCTATTTATGATAATATTAGATCACGATATATTGAAAAATCACCGGGACAGAAAATATGTATTAACATTTTCCAGTCGTATATGAAGTTACTCATGGATATCACCAAAAAAATACTTAATTGACAACTTAATTTGTTGTGAAGACCTTAATTGACAAGTAAAAATAACACATTAGATTGTTGGCTTATTCAGTTTTAGGTAGTACTGGTTTAATGGTGTTAAGCGAGTTCAATTTGAAGTAATCTCACAGGTTCAAAGGTGCCCTCAGTTTCATCTACTTGACATTGAGTTAACAGGTAGAAGTACTATTATCATTAGTAGTAGCAATATTTTTAACTAGTTGATCAATAAGTTACCTGTTACCTTGAAAAAACTATTTATTTGAACGCTGAGACTAAAATATGTCAATTATGTATTTTCAGGACGTGGGTTTGTGGAGATTGTGGCAATTTCAATAGTTGAATTCATGAGTCCGTTTCAGCTAGGACACCATTGGAAACCTGGAAGCACTGGACGGCCGTCTCGTCCCAGTATGGGAATCCTTAGCAGTGCACATCCACGACCCAGTGGCCCGCGAGATTCAAACCCAGGAACTAACAATCTCGCGCTCGAGCGCTTAACCATTAGACCACTGAGCCGGCATCCAACAGTGTTAATGTCTAACTTCAACCAATCCACGAAATTACGCCATGACACATTATTTCAACCATTGAAATATAAATATACCTAATGATCAAAAACCCTTGTAGGTGCAAGTACAATTAATTCGAAGATTTCAAGTTTAATGAATTCTTCTCTAAAATTTTTTAAATAACATTAATATCAGATGGGTTTTGTGGATATTATAGTGATTTCAATGGTTAAGATCATGAGTCAGTTGAAGTGACTGGCTTCAAGAGGTATATCCTGGAGTTCTAGTGAGTAGTAGTAACCAGTAGAGTTCAACCAGGTCTGTTGTGAGATGGTAACTCACTGAAGACAATGGTGGATGTGCCGCTCAATTTCGTGGATTAGTTGAAGTTAGACATTAACACCGTTGAATGCCAGCCGGCTCAGTGGTCTAGTGGTTAAGTGCTCGTGTGCGAAACCAGTAGGTCCTGGGTTCGGATCTCGCAGGGGGCAAGGTCGTGCATGCGCACTGCTGAGGAGTCCCACAATAGGTCGAAACGGTAGTCCAATACTTCCAGGTTTTCCATAGTGGTCTAGCTTCAACTGCC